TTTATCTTAACTGTATTGATTTAAGCCCTCAAAAATAATGAGCCTCAGGCTGTTCATTACCAATTAATCTCAAAACCTATGGGGTTAACAGCTTCAGACTAACCAAAAACGATTATTTAGAGGCATTTAGAATCAGGAATCCCAGACTGTCCACTACCGATTATGATGATAAAAGAACCTCTAGGCTTAGAAACCTCAGACTTTCGATTCCCGATTATGATGATTTGTGGAACTCTAGGCTTAAAATACTTAGACTTTCCGATATGAATGTATATTGATTTCCAGATTTGTAATATGATGTTATTCTAAATGTGTGATCCTTGATCCCTGTAGGGTCGATAGTCTTGGACCATACATTACTAATTGTGATGATTAAAGGACCTATAGAGTCAAGAATCTATGCGTGTCCATATCCGATTATGACGGTTTGAAGTCGTGTGACGTCAGGAATTTCAGTCTGTCTATTACCGATTTTTGATGATAGATGAGATGATTATAACGACATAAGGATGATAATCTCCATCTGTTGAGTACAGATTATGATAACTTACATGTCTCTGAGGTCGAGAAGCTCAAAGTGTGCACATCAAGTGTGATGATTTGAAAATCTTTTAGGTCAATAGTCTCCGACTATCCATTAGCGACTATGATGATTTAAAGGCCTCTTGATTCAATGGCCTGATACTGCCTATTACAGATTTATGATGATTTGAAGACCTTTAGGTCTGATTTATCAAAAGTCCCTGACTGTCCATTACCTACATATTATGATGATTAAAATGTCTCCTGATTTAGAACCTTAAACTGCCTATTAACGATTTGTGGTAATCGGTAATACCGATTATTATTTCATTCAAGATTGGAATAAAGAAAACATCCAGAATGTGTGAGTAACACTCTTTCTAGATTCTATAAATATAGATGTTTCTAAAATTTTTAAATATTTTTAATTAGATATTTTGTGTGTCAACATGATGTCGTGTTTTGCTTCCATATCCATATCAAGACTGGTATTCAAGACTGGTATTGATTGGGAACTTACTCACCAACATAACTCGTCAGATTTTGCATGGACTGCATGGAATCTTAATTAAAATGTTATTTCTCCTTTAAGAACCTGACTGTATTCTAATTACTTGAATCTGAAATCTTAAACCAGTACTTGTTTCATTGGGGAAATAACATGGGAAAATGTGTATATTTGGCTATGTTTATGAGTTATGTATGGAAACGTAAGATGCCGCGTATGAATGACGAAAACGATTGCTTTCACTGACTTCATTAATTGATTAATCGATTGATCATGTTATGGTATGTCTTATTTGAACATTTATTCACATCATCAATTTTAACAATATTCTCCCTCTGTTCTCTATTTTTAGATATGCAGCATTGCAGCATCCAAAATTACCTACATGGATGCATTAATGGACAGGCATCATTTGATAAGCTACTGAAACGGGATTTATATTAACTCGCAAGAGACTCGCATAATTATTATTTCAGAATATTAAACAACAAATTGACTATTTTAAATACGCATTGACTGTTAGAACCAGATCCAGATCTATTTTGATGAAGTGTATTGCATATATTTAATGCAATTAGTTCTAAGATATTTAGTTGTAAGATATTTAGTTGTAAGATTGAAAGTTAAAACCAGATTCAGATCCATTTTGATGATGTATATTGCATATCTTTAATGCAATTAGTTGTAAGATGTTTAGTTTTAAGATGAAATATATTTATAAGGACATTTTTATACAAAAACATAAAAATAAAAAAAAATATTTAAATAAGTGTTGAAATTATTTTTCATACTTATAGACTTGTCATGTAACTGGCATAGTCGTTCCAATGTTTGAGACTAATAAATAAATATATGAAAATCGATTATTTAGATAAGATGTAATAACCATAAGATTAGTTAAATAAATAGAGAGGGTTATTGTCTTTTTAGAGTTTTTTCATTCTGTCTCTTCACATTATTACAATCATCCGGTAAGGTGTCCGGCTGTTCCATTTCTAATATAATTATTTTTATCTTCTCCACATGTGTGATTGTATTGAAATATTTTTAAAAAAAAAAATAACTCTAAATTAGACCAGTTAAGTATATATGAAATATATATGGAAATGCAGGTTAATAATAATCCATGCAAATAGTGCAAATGGTGACAGTTTTTCAAATTACACAATTCTACACCTCGAATGTTACATACTGAAAATTTAGGAAAGTATTGTTTTTATTAATAATAAGGGAAATATTTTCTGTATTTTCTGTATTTTTGCATAACAATTAAAAAGAATTCTTTAAAGAATAGTTCTTGACATTGATTCAACAGTTGTCCTATTTCGTTATTTTACTCAATATTTAAATGATCTGAATTCATTTCTATATCAAAATCGGATTCTAACAGTGCAATATTATTTAAATTGGAATTGTTTTCTAAGTAAATCTTGGCTTTAAGAGCGGTTAGAAAATTCGTGCCCATAATAGCATTATATGTACGATTTGGAAAATCCGCAACCCTCCACGAGAAGGTCTCAAAGACATTAAGTTTTATTATTGGTGTGAGTAATTTAGTTGTTACTAAACCAAAGTGGTTACGCGATTTTTTCTTCACACAGAGTAATAAATAAAAATGCTTTTATAATGCTTGTACTTAAATCTGAATCATTCAAGCATAATATTTTTTTATTTTTTATTGTTATTCTTATTCTTATTAGGGATAATTCCGGTTTTGAGGAATCATTGAAAAATTTACTTCCTGAATTTTTTCTATATTATCGATTTGAATTGGCTCTATTTTATCAAATTTTAGTGTATTATGCATATTAATATTGATATTATATTCATGTTGGCCTAATCTATTATTCCAATTATTCCTATATTGTTGAATTGAACCATCATTATGACACTGAATTATATTATTGTTTCGACCACTATATTGATTACAATTGTTACTAAAATTTTCGTGTTGAATTGAATAATTATTAGTTTCATGTATCTTTCCAACTGAATTTGTATATATATTTGTTTCAGCTCTAGTCATCTTGTGATTATAATCTATTGCTCTTCTATCAGTCATCAAACTAAGTTTAGTATATTTACTTATTACATCCTGAAGAGTTTCATCTTTTGCTATATTCTCACGTAATAAATCTACAAGATCTCTATCAACATCAGATGGATCTATCAACATCAGATTGCAGGTTTCTTAACATCAACTTGATATAATTTATTTATTTCACATGTTTCAGTGAAAGTTTTGAAAAGCTCTTCCAAATTATTAACTTTAACTTGCCTGAAGAGTTTATATATCTCAGCATAAGTTTTTTTTATTCCATATGGCAACATCATAAAGTTCTCTTACAGACCGCCCAACTTCTCCAATTAATTTTAAATATACAACGATAAACTAATTGAATTTACATAACGCGATCGTTGGATCTCAATGGATCTAATAAACGATCTCAGGTTGTGGTTTCAAGACATCTTTCGGCTTTAAAAATGATACTGCTTGTTGGTGTTGCTCCTGATACTGCTGAAATTGTAATTGTTGTTGCAGCTACAACTGTTGCATTTGAGGTTGAAGTAATTCAATTTCTTATTTTTGACTGCGACAAAAACAACAAATTTGTTTCTAATTCATAAATCAAAAATTAAAACCAAATCCACGTTTTCTGACTGCGACAATTATAAAAGAACTCTCGTTTTCGATTCTAAAAATATCATATGTTTATTTTCTTTTTCCAACACCAGCTTTGGCTCTGGATTCAAATGTTTCAATCTAGAGACTAACTTAATATGTACATAGAAATTCATCTTACACCTAAAAAACCATATGCAGTTAATTCTTCTACAAATAAGTTGTCGTTTTAAAAGAGATGGAGAGAATTGTATATAACTTGTGCGATTAATACCGCAGGAAGTATTCCATCTATGACAAAAAATATTACGCATCGCGCGATAAGACGCATATTTTAAGTTGCTTGTTTCTCGTCACCTAAGTCGCTTTAACTGTTGCGAGCGAACTCAGTGTAAACTAAACAAAGTGCTAGTTTACAGAATTAAAAACTGTCAGAATAGAAGCACAAAGGAAGAAAAGACCAATTTCATAAAATCCGCTTAAAATTAGAAAAGTGCAAGCCAAAAGCGAGCCAAAAAATCGAAGATGATCGAAGACGATCATCAAGCACAAATACACGAAAACAGGATCCAAAACGAGTAAACGTGTGTATTGCTTATAATACCAGAAACTATTAAAAGTACAAGAATACCAAGTTTACATTTTAAATCGTGAAAATTATTGGAAAATATATTATATATATAATATATTGAAATATTTATTCTCTTTATCCTTCAAAATAGTTCCATCTCTATCGATATTAAATATACGTTTTAATGTATTATTTAAAAGTCGTGCTTGATACTGATACTGCAGTAATCATTTTTCCTACGACTGTCTGCATTACATGGCTCTATGGGAATGGGATACTTTTAGACGATACGATTTTATATGATCATGTGTTCACTTATGATTGCAATAGCTTGAACGTACTGTTTAGTTATTTCAAGGACTGGATAAAGAAATTAAAAAATTAGATGAATAATTTCGTATAAAAAGCGACATGTTTTGCTAAAATGCTGTTTAGTATGTCTAACCTATTGCAATTAACCTAATAAATCGGCAGTAATATCCATAAAATCCACAAAAGCATATGTGATGGAGAGATACTGTCATTATTCCAGTTTTCTTCACATATATTATAAATCGAGTTTGCGGTGAATTTTGAAATATTTTCAAAAAAAATTGATATACCAAATAAAAAATTTTGATATTTCATAAAAGAATGATTTGTTGAAGAGTAAGTATCTTCATTACAGAAAATATTTCGGCCTTTTTTCGGAAATTTTTCAAAATTCCAAATTAAAAGTTAACAGTACAAAATTGTTAATTATTGGCACTGCATAATGTGCAATAGTTAAAAAAATTTGGAGTATAATATAATAAGGTTGGGCGACTTTTTATATATACACCAAATAATGATTTGAAATGAAATTAAAAATCATGCAAAATGCAAATCATAACCTGGAATAAGTATGGTAAAAACAATTGGTAAAAACAAATGTTAAAATGGTAAGTTCGAAAATTGCCAGTCGAAATTATTAAAAATAGTTTTCTTTTTAGTATTTTAAGAATTTGACAAAACACAAATAAATTTAACAAGATATTGGTAAAGGTAAATATTGGTAAGTTCAGAAACTGTTCTCAATTCACTTCTAAAATATTATTTTTTGACAGTTGGCAAATATTACAAAACAAACTTCAAAGAAAATTCATTTAATTTACATAAAATATATGAAATGAAATATTTGAAAATTCAAGTCTAACGAGCTACATTTAATAAAACTCAATGAAAACCTCATGGATCTGTGCTTTTTCATGCTTGAATGAATAGTAATAAAGCTGAGCCCGCCTACAGTTTTCTGAACAAACAGAATTATTCGAACCTCCTACATATTCAGAACTGAAGGCTACGGGCCTCATACTGTCTAACCGATTTGTGATGATGGGAGCGCCTCTACAATGGCGAGACTCTTACTGTTAAAACCGTTTTTGATGACTTAAAAGCCTCTGCAGTTAGGGCTTCCGATGATACCAATTGTGATGATGTCACCTTTAAAGTGACGGGCCTCTACAGTTTATCTTAACTGTATTGATTTAAGCCCTCAAAAATAATGAGCCTCAGGCTGTTCATTACCAATTAATCTCAAAACCTATGGGGTTAACAGCTTCAGACTAACCAAAAACGATTATTTAGAGGCATTTAGAATCAGGAATCCCAGACTGTCCACTACCGATTATGATGATAAAAGAACCTCTAGGCTTAGAAACCTCAGACTTTCGATTCCCGATTATGATGATTTGTGGAACTCTAGGCTTAAAATACTTAGACTTTCCGATATGAATGTATATTGATTTCCAGATTTGTAATATGATGTTATTCTAAATGTGTGATCCTTGATCCCTGTAGGGTCGATAGTCTTGGACCATACATTACTAATTGTGATGATTAAAGGACCTATAGAGTCAAGAATCTATGCGTGTCCATATCCGATTATGACGGTTTGAAGTCGTGTGACGTCAGGAATTTCAGTCTGTCTATTACCGATTTTTGATGATAGATGAGATGATTATAACGACATAAGGATGATAATCTCCATCTGTTGAGTACAGATTATGATAACTTACATTTCTCTGAGGTCGAGAAGCTCAAAGTGTGCACATCAAGTGTGATGATTTGAAAATCTTTTAGGTCAATAGTCTCCGACTATCCATTAGCGACTATGATGATTTAAAGGCCTCTTGATTCAATGGCCTGATACTGCCTATTACAGATTTATGATGATTTGAAGACCTTTAGGTCTGATTTATCAAAAGTCCCTGACTGTCCATTACCTACATATTATGATGATTAAAATGTCTCCTGATTTAGAACCTTAAACTGCCTATTAACGATTTGTGGTAATCGGTAATACCGATTATTATTTCATTCAAGATTGGAATAAAGAAAACATCCAGAATGTGTGAGTAACACTCTTTCTAGATTCTATAAATATAGATGTTTCTAAAATTTTTAAATATTTTTAATTAGATATTTTGTGTGTCAACATGATGTCGTGTTTTGCTTCCATATCCATATCAAGACTGGTATTCAAGACTGGTATTGATTGGGAACTTACTCACCAACATAACTCGTCAGATTTTGCATGGACTGCATGGAATCTTAATTAAAATGTTATTTCTCCTTTAAGAACCTGACTGTATTCTAATTACTTGAATCTGAAATCTTAAACCAGTACTTGTTTCATTGGGGAAATAACATGGGAAAATGTGTATATTTGGCTATGTTTATGAGTTATGTATGGAAACGTAAGATGCCGCGTATGAATGACGAAAACGATTGCTTTCACTGACTTCATTAATTGATTAATCGATTGATCATGTTATGGTATGTCTTATTTGAACATTTATTCACATCATCAATTTTAACAATATTCTCCCTCTGTTCTCTATTTTTAGATATGCAGCATTGCAGCATCCAAAATTACCTACATGGATGCATTAATGGACAGGCATCATTTGATAAGCTACTGAAACGGGATTTATATTAACTCGCAAGAGACTCGCATAATTATTATTTCAGAATATTAAACAACAAATTGACTATTTTAAATACGCATTGACTGTTAGAACCAGATCCAGATCTATTTTGATGAAGTGTATTGCATATATTTAATGCAATTAGTTCTAAGATATTTAGTTGTAAGATATTTAGTTGTAAGATTGAAAGTTAAAACCAGATTCAGATCCATTTTGATGATGTATATTGCATATCTTTAATGCAATTAGTTGTAAGATGTTTAGTTTTAAGATGAAATATATTTATAAGGACATTTTTATACAAAAACATAAAAATAAAAAAAAATATTTAAATAAGTGTTGAAATTATTTTTCATACTTATAGACTTGTCATGTAACTGGCATAGTCGTTCCAATGTTTGAGACTAATAAATAAATATATGAAAATCGATTATTTAGATAAGATGTAATAACCATAAGATTAGTTAAATAAATAGAGAGGGTTATTGTCTTTTTAGAGTTTTTTCATTCTGCCTCTTCACATTATTACAATCATCCGGTAAGGTGTCCGGCTGTTCCATTTCTAATATAATTATTTTTATCTTCTCCACATGTGTGATTGTATTGAAATATTTTTAAAAAAAAAAATAACTCTAAATTAGACCAGTTAAGTATATATGAAATATATATGGAAATGCAGGTTAATAATAATCCATGCAAATAGTGCAAATGGTGACAGTTTTTCAAATTACACAATTCTGCACCTCGAATGTTACATACTGAAAATTTAGGAAAGTATTGTTTTTATTAATAATAAGGGAAATATTTTCTGTATTTTCTGTATTTTTGCATAACAATTAAAAAGAATTCTTTAAAGAATAGTTCTTGACATTGATTCAACAGTTGTCCTATTTCGTTATTTTACTCAATATTTAAATGATCTGAATTCATTTCTATATCAAAATCGGATTCTAACAGTGCAATATTATTTAAATTGGAATTGTTTTCTAAGTAAATCTTGGCTTTAAGAGCGGTTAGAAAATTCGTGCCCATAATAGCATTATATGTACGATTTGGAAAATCCGCAACCCTCCACGAGAAGGTCTCAAAGACATTAAGTTTTATTATTGGTGTGAGTAATTTAGTTGTTACTAAACCAAAGTGGTTACGCGATTTTTTCTTCACACAGAGTAATAAATAAAAACGTTTTGTTGACTCGTAGTTCACTGTTTAATAGAAAAATATATAAACACTGGACACTAGTGTTCAACTTTACACATCTGTGTAAGCTGAAGGGAAGTGTTTTTTCAAGTTTGACTTATTAGCAATAAAACTGTATAAATATTTTTTTTATATCTGATTTTTTTTCATAATTTCACTATTTTTTAAAAGTAGACCAAGAGTAATGCTTTTATTAAAGTTTGATTAGCAAGAGGGTGGCGGGTGTAGAGTGAAGTCACAAATATTTCTGTAAAGCTAAAGCTTCATACATTCAAAGTAATTACATATATAAACACTTAAATTTTTTCCAATATTAAAAAAAATCCATGAAAAGTGGTAAAATTTGTTGTTCGATTAATCGAACATATGGCGGATAGAGGTTAATTTCACAAGTGATACATATATAAAAATTATTTCTGATTCATATTTTTTTGTACAAATTAATTTTTCTTCTTTAAATATTTTTTCGTTCTTTGCTTTCATTATAGGGTCTCATTAACGTTGTTTTTATATGTATTGTGTAGGAAAACTGGTACTTATTGCTGTTATATTGTAAAAAGGAAATTTTCATTTTACTGAATTTAATCTTAAAGTAAATATATTAATGGCTTGCAGTTTTAAAGACCTTGAAGTTGTTCATTCTCATGTAATTATTCAATTCCAGGTTCATATACACACTTGCAACATCTCATGGAGGTTAAACTTGGTTTTAAACTTTGACACAAATACTTCTAATTTATCTAAACTTTAATTTTACTACGTATCATAAGCACATTGTTGCGTTAAAACAGATTTACAAGGAGTCTAGTATACTGTATACACAATGAAACGTTCTGTTATTAAACCGAAAGCCACAGAGTAAAAAATTTAATTCTAAAATGCCTAAAAGCATGCTAAACAACTTAATTTAACTTTAAATGATGTTAAATCGAGCGCACAATCGCTCATGGCTCACAGCAAAAGTGAAAGCATATTGTCAATGCAGATAATTAAATTTAAAAACTTTGGGTGTTATCCTTTTAACAGTAGCATTAAATAAAAGCGAAAAAAGCATGAAACAAAGCAAAATAAACAAATAGAGTCAACAAAAATAAGGAACAACACCAACTAACAATGTGAAAAATAATGAAAATTATATGAAAGCCCCCAAAAAACTAAAGGCACAAAAAGATACCAGCTACCAAGCGACAAAACCCAACCAGCAACCCTTTATATGCCAGGACAAAAAATAGAATATAAAAAATTCAAACAGCAAGGACCAAACTAAACACAGCTAATTTAATACAAAACAACGTGCGGTCGCATGCACGAGCTTAAATCTCTTGCAATGTAGCATAAAACACTAAACAGTTAACCATATTAGCTTATTTTTCATACGGCAACGCGTTCGCCTTCTCTACTCATTTCCCACCCTCTCATTTCACGCCCTTCTCCATATTATTTTTGTATTTTTCTCCTCTAGTTTCCTTTTTTTGGATGGAATATCTGTGATTTTAGAGACGGATTTTGTTGTTGTTCATACATCAGTCTACTGTTGTCGCAGTAATCCTTTTAATATAGCTGGAGAATTTAGGTAATTTGGAACCATTTTCAACGGGTTTAGATACTTTTTAAACTAGTAGCAACTAAAAATGTACTTGTGTAAAATAAGACTAAAATACTCTTGACCGACCGCTTGTCCACTCAAGCATATGCCTGCCTAGTTGCAGTGCGATATGGCAGACCGAGCAAACAGCTTCACCCACGTCTATTAAAACTTTAAGCACAATATGGTTAAAAAATTAAACACGATTGTCGGATGTTCAGGGACGAAACGAGGAACCGGGAAGCGTGAGCAAAAATAAAAACATTTCGAATGGCGGGTAGTTGATGGAAACGCTATTTTAACGAATTGATGGCCTTTAATATTTTTTTGATTCCATCAGCTTTTGGTGTAATTAAATTTTACTGACTTAAGTGAAAGACAACGAAATAAGTATGAGTTATAGAAAGAACAATTTAAAATTGGTAAACAGATCTATTACAAATACATATTCATAGCTGGTCCATCTACATGCATTGATAACGTAGACCATTCAGTGGTGTGCTGTCAAATATGTTATACATAAAATTTGAACGAAAATTACTATTAATTTATAGAAAAAATTTATAATAATAAATTTTCATACAATATAAGAGGGATCAATAGCAACAACACCCTTAGCTCAGTAATTTTATTTTAAGTTAAGGTTAATTAAAATTTTAGACTATTTAAATATATGTTAAATAATACGATTAATTTCGCAAACATAATTATAGACTTCAAAAATGTTATTTTGTGTGGATGTGGAGAGAAATGCGGAGGAAGTTTCCACAGAGAAACCGAAGTTATCCATAGTTGCTTTAAGTCGTGGCAATTATCCAGACAATATGGATAAAAGATTAAGGAAGAATTTTGCAGTATTGAGTTGATTGGTTGGTTGGTTGGTTGCAGTGGCAGGTCATAAGATAACTTCAAATGTACCTCAATTAGCGATTTTTCGCCGTTTTGTTATCACATTCCTCGCAAGAACCCTAGTATAGAAGAATAGAGACTAAATCCATCCCACCGAATTTAGGTAATTTAACAGGTCTTTCATCCTTACCATTGAGCAGTCTGATAAACTATCACAAAAGTATTTTCCTAAGAACCTATATCTTCTGGATGCTAGAGCTGGGCATTCACAGAGAAAATGTATTATTGTTTCTTTCTCCCGCGGGTTTCCACAACTTCTGCAGTGAGAGTTATGGGGAATACGCAGTTTCTCTGCGTGAGTTCCTAACCACCAATGACCAGTAAGAACCGCGATAAGCCTTGCAGTGTTTACGCGATCTTTTTTGATGAGTTCCAGAGATTTATTTTTATTATAAGTGGGCCACGTTAACCTGGAAGTTGCACATGACCTTAGTGCTTTCCATCTGTTATTGGCGAGTTGCAGAAAGTAAAGAAAGGTACTTCTTTTGATGGTCTCCAGGGTAATATAGACTGATACCGCCAGTGACGCATCTAGGGAGGCACCAGAGCGGGCTAAACTATCAGCTTTCTCATTCCCTACGATGTTCCTATGCCCAGGAACCCAGATGAGTGTGATATCGGCCAACCGGTTTAGCTCGTCGATTGCTTCTCTACATTCTTTTACTATTTTTGATTTTGTTATAAAGGATTCAGGATTCAGTATTGAGTTAGACCAATGGATTCTCCACGAAAAACATGCTTATGAGTAATTTGTGCAATGGCATTTGGTTATTAATTTTTTATGTGGACAGTTGAAGAGTAAATTTGACACCGGAATATTTTAAAATAAAAGAAGTAATGTAGAGGATGTCCAATTTATTGGATTTATGATTTATGTCCAATCTGCATCTTTGGTTATTTAATCAGTTTTCTCATTACCTATAATACCAAATGGCCAGGGATTCATAAGAATTGATTAGATCTGCTCTCTGTATCTAATAAGAAAGCAGAGGTTCTTTGAAGTAGTATTGTTTGAGAAATTTTCAAAGAAGTTTACAGCAATGAGATTATTTCAACATATTATGGATTTGTCGTTGATTATAAAAGCATAGGTAAAAATTTAAAATATGGCTGTAGCTTCTGTTCAAAGAATTGAACAATATGACTCAATAAGAATTATGAAAATTATTTCTTGAAAAGTATTTACTGCAAAGAAAATATTAAAGTTTGACATAGCCTAGCAGTAAAAATTGAAGTCCTTCCATTCTGAAAATATAATAAGGGTAGAGTCTATAAACTTTCTTAGGTTGGTGAAATTTTCTGTAGAGTTAATAAAAAGTTTTTGCAAATTTTTTAAAATCAAGGAG